TTTCCTAAATAAATTTATTGTCCAACTGTTCTTGTATGATTTACATAGACATCAGTAGCTCTGGATTCTTCCTGAGCTCATGTATTTGTGCTTTCATCTGTCTGAAAGCCATGCGATAATTGCTAGGTAGATGTGGTGGATTTAATTTCCATGGTAACCTAACCCAATACTGTCCATCTTCATATTTGACAGTGTCCAAATATTGGTTATAAGTCTGAGACTCTTGTGGGCTTGGTTTATTTATATCAATACCTATCGCATCTAAATCCCACAACTTATCAACTGGTTCATTCATTTCTTCCAGTAATGATAATTTTTGCTGTGGTACATGATCAGTGGTTATTCTTGTAACTAGTACATTTTCCACTGAATCAATATCAGCTTCTTTCCCACTTTGAGAGGGAATGGGACCACATATCATGTGGCCTCCTGCTGTTTTCAGCAAGAGAACATCATGTTTACTTACTATATTTTGCACAAAACAGTGATAATAATCACTTCCAATGATTAAATCAATTGGACTAATTGTGTCCGTCTGTATGTCAATACAGGCTAACATGACCTTAGCTGCTTTCAGTGCTGCAACTGTTTCTTTTAATCCCTGGATCTGCACAGACTTAGGCAAATCATCTACTACCACAGCTTCTACTGTCTTTTTCCTGTTTCCTAGACCAACAGTGATTCTGGCTAGGTCATATGTCTGTTTACCAGAATTGTGGAAAAAACCAGCTATATCTAACTGTATTTTGGCATAGGGTTGTTTATTCAGTTTCTGCAACACTGTTCTTCTTATGAAGGACCTTTGTGAGCCTTGATCAAATAGTGTTAGCACATTGGTTTTGTGTGATTTATTAGATAACTCAACTCGAGCTATCGGAAGAGCAGTTGCTTTAAACTTATCTCTCACATTTAATGTTATTGTTTGTTGACTTCCTGATTCTGTGGAACTCTTCTGCTGTTCAGCAAAAGTATTTGGGCATAATGCTGTATGATGCATACCCTTGCATTTAAAACACTTCTTCAGTGAGCATTTTCCTCCCTTGTGTTCACCTAAACACTTGATGCATCTTTTCAGTTGATGAACACGTTGTTTACGTGCCTCCATTGATGTGTATTGACTACAATACTGTGCCCAATGTGTTCCGTCACAAAGTACACATTTTAGAGTACGTTTATATATGACAGTCTGTTTACTGTCTGTTGTATTCACAGCATTGAGAAATGCTATGTGGATTTCCAATTATGTGGGTTTAGTGGGAGTAGTTATATTTTACTCTTTTTTATAGAGTGAAGGTTTATTATCACCAGATTTTGTGATTTTTAATCTTGTCTCGTTGCTTGCATGCATGAAACTATTGTTTGTGAAAAAACAATTGCTATTCTTAACAAGTGAAATAGCATTTTATTGAACATATATTTAATCGTTCTATAGTTTGTGGTGACAACTTATCTTGATACATTACCACTGATAAACCAATCACCTTTGATCTTAGGTCATATTTAGCATCTAGAGGATCTGAGATATTGTCTAATGTGATTCTAAATGCCTGTAAGTCTGAAAAAACTATGTTTGCGTGGCTTCAAGTTGATATTAAGACTGCATGTCTAACTCTAGCCTTGTCAGGCATCAAAGTATTGTCTGCTTATAGAACGTAAGGTATTTGATAATTGCCTTTCACCACCGGAAATTGACTTAATCAGTTTCTTAGGGTTCTCCCTTCACAAGACATTTAAGATAATTGAACTTAGCAATTATCTTGTCAGTTCGTGAATTTACTATCGGATTGATAACCACTAATGAATTATCATAATTATGGACCTTGGAAAATAGGTAATGACAATGTAGGTAAGCTTGGTAATGGGACACTTGTTGTGGTTACATGTGTAAAGGTGGTTGCCCATAGTTTAAGTAGGTCTATGTAGACAGAGTTTTACGGCAGAATAGCCTGTACTCCTGTCCACCCTTAATTGTTGATCACTAAAAGTATCCAAAAACATTTTTAATTTATATAGATGGATCTGATTCAAGAAATTTATTTTCATAATGTGTATAGTCTGAATTAATTATTTTCTACGTTGTGTAAATAATCCAAATTGACATCAAGATCATCAAAATCTATGTTTGTATCTGAGTTTAATCCTTACAGAACTGAATTAGATTTTCCTAATTTGTAATCTTGTCTGTAAAGACTGAAAACTGAGTGTTCAAACAGCATTTTATGGTATACTGATATTCTTGCACCACACTTAGAGGTGTTAAAAAACACTGTACTGCTATAGGCAGGCTGAGTTTTTGTTATGCTTAGCAGCGCAATAATCGAGTCTGACCTACTGACCACTAAGCTTACCTCAGGTCAAGACATGAAGGGTACACAGTACATGTGGCTGGTGTGTTTATGGCTTAGAGTTTGTGTGTCAGCCTGACACGATGAGTAATCGTAAATAAGTTATACACTTATCCACTATACACTATAAATGTCATTATAAAATGTAAATCACACGTGAATATTACTTTACACAAATATAAAATTTCACTGTTAATATTATATTTGAAAGCTTTCACTTTGTATTTAAAGTTCCTTTAATATAAAGTAGATCTATAAGAAACAATTAAACACAATCTTGTCTCTTTAATTTTCTGTCTATATACATTTTAAACATATGTTTATATATACACTCAGACCAAAACAACATCACTTGGGTTGCTGTTGTCTTAATCAGCAATTTCTCGAGATTAGAGCAGTGGGTGCAGGGTGTGGTGAGTCACCAGCTCCCTTTTCTTTGGGTGTTCCGATGGTGAGCGCCGTTTTCTTTTTTGCTGCCATTCTCTGTGATTGGAGTCTGGAGGGACTATTTATAATGATTTATATTGTAAAACACTAGTTTTACAGTTTTTTTCGAAGGACTTGGCTCATAGGTTATTTGTACACTGTAGTACAACATATTTGGACCACAGTGTGGTCTTTATCCGGTTCGAGCACGACCAAATTCTGTTGAAGATTTTGGCCTTACCTGCTGTGTTTAAATTATAACTATATATAATGAACACTTAGCTGATAAATGACAGCAATCGTCTACACAGCCGCCCTGCAGACGAGGTCTAGAAGCTGTCGAAACCATCACAACATTGGGCTGTCAAGAGATACAATTTGTAAGTATAAATTACCCCTGGGGGTGTTATGTCAGCATATTTCATTCGATGATGGCTGACGAAATACCTACTTGTTTGGACTCAAAAGTCCACACCTTACTGCCGATTATAGGTTGATTACAAACTCCTTGTGACTCAAGAATTGCGCAATCCCCCGATCTACAAGAAATTCGTAACATACCTTGCCCTTTGTAACGTGAGCTATGGTGTTCTCAACACCTTCGACAGGTATCGGTGACTTGATAGAAGCTGAAGTGTCCTTGGATGTCCACGTCTTCCATTGTCTAGGAAACGCACACTGGTACACTATGTTCCACAAGATTTGTCTTTATTGTTCACAGTGTATCACAAGAGAAGCTGATCACACTTCTCTTTTGTTTATTGTGTTTGAGACACTTCGTTCACACTAACGCACAGATCAGTGTTCTTTGCTAGTTATTCTGGCATCAGTGTCACTCTCACTAGAGTCAAAGGTGGTCTGGCGTCGCCACACCGCCCCAAGCCGTCACTGCCCTAATACACAAAAAAAAAAAAATGCTGACCTAGTACCTTGCATCCTTGTCACCTCCTCGATGAAGCAAAGCAGAATGTTTGTTTCTTGCTGTCTTAAGCATAGACAACAATGTACACTATCTTTACTATAGTAATAAAGTGGAAGCAGGATTTTCCTTAATTGTCCTGCTAAGTAAGAGATGTACTGTCTCTTATAAAAATACACTTTGCAACACCGCTGCAAGGAGCAGAGGTCACTTGACTACGTGGCATAGCATCTGTGATCAATTACTCACTCTAGCAGTAAACAAGATGCTCGCCCCTTCTGAGAGGGCTTGGCCCCTCAGGGCTGAAAGGGCTGAAGGGGGCTGATACCCCCCTCCTGGAGAAAATTTTTCCACAACATATTATATATATATATATAATATATATATTTATATATATATATATATATATTTATATATATATATATATATATATATATATGTGTGTGTAATATATATAACACAACACATATACGTGTGTGTATGTGTGTTGATGTACCCAGCAGCACTAGGCATGTATCATGATGCGTGGACATACGTGGCTGAGGTAAGCTCAGAACTAATTTCATTCTTCTCCCGTTTGAAATACCAGCCTTTACGAGCAGTACACATATTCATGAATTGCATACGGGAGTATAATGAAATTAATTGTGAGATTACCACAACGACGTATGTTCTGGCAACACCTCGCAACTATGCAACAC